AGTTGGATGCTGACACCAGAAGTTTAAAAACTTAAAAGGTTTCTTAATTGGTACATCATTTGGATTGTACTGCAGCAACATTGGACTGTGATCAGATCCAGTTTTGGACAGGTGAGTAATCTCTAGATTAGGCCACATCTGCTGCAATTCTACATTTCCCAAACATCTATCCAACCTTTTAAATATGCAATCATCTTCCCCTCTTCCATTCCACCATGTATAGATACTCCCTTTGAAACCTAAATCATTGAGGTTACATGTGGAAATGCAATGCCTAAAATCATTTATCTCATTCAGTGACACAGGTAAACCACCAAACTTCTCCTCTTCATCCAATATTACATTAAAATCCCCTCCTACAAGCCAAGGGATAGACATATCACTGGCCAAATAGTATAAGCTATCCCACAGTTCTATTCTCTCAATGGGATCACACTTGGCATACACAAAAGTTACCATGAAAGACATTTGTGTATCCAAGTTTGTAAGCTTCAAGGTCATCTGTTGTTCAAGGTCATATATAATCTCCACTCCATGATCCTCATCCACAAATACCCAAATTTTGTTAGATACATTAGCAAAAGCCTGTAGCATACCTATCCTTCTCCTGTATCTTTCCAAATTCTTCTTTTTCTGCTTTGGTTCCATAATTCCAATAAACTTGAAATGATGTTGTTTTTGCATTGTAATAAGCCTTTCACGTACTTGCATTGTCTTTACTGATCTCACATTCCAAATAATGGCATTCATCATCAATTATTTGATTTAGATAGGGTCCTTCTAGTTTGAACCCCTGGTACTACACTTTGAACATTTTCTTTTGGCTGTCTCTTCTTTCCTCTTCCAACTGATTTGCCCTTATCCAAGTACCTAGGTGATAAATCACCTTGTTTTGCAATGTTTCTGAAATTTTGGCATGTTGATTCAGCATCTAAATCTCTGCCCTTGCCTTCCAAATTTTCTGCATTGCCCTCATTCTCTAATGGAAATTCAATTTGATTTCCTATAGGATTAGGAATCAAACTTCTTTGTGAATTCTTCTGCCCTTCATCTGATTGTTGAATCATTTTTGTATTTTTGACATTGTCACCTGCTGTATCTTCCTTACTCTTCCCATGCTCTTCTCCAATTCCTTTTATATGTATAATCACACCTTCAGTTCCTGTATCTACAGCAAAAGGAATATTTGGTTCTATGTTTGGGTTAGCTGGTGGTAGCTCTTTAATAGGACTAGAACTAATGAGTTTTTGACCAGCTTGATCTCCAGTACTTGTCTTCTTTATTACTTCTATGTCTTCTTCTTGATCAGCCTTATTTTCTTTAGATTTTCCACCTTTAGTTTCAGGTTTTTGGCATTCCTTATTAGCCTTGTCATTAACACTTTGTTCTTCTTCCTCATTCTCCTCATCTGATGATTCCTCCTCACCACTGGCACCTTCAGGTAGTTCTCCTTCCTCTGAATCTTCTTCAGTTTGAGCATCCCACAGCTTTCCTCCACTAATTTGTAGTCTTTCATTAGTATTGACTTCTTTAATAGTTGCATCAACTTCAGTGTCCTGTGAGGGAATGTCCTGACATGATTGATTAGTTGCAACTATCTTTTCAGCAAATATTCTATTAACCCATGCTGCTGTAGTTTCCTTCTGTCCAGTAGTTGCTTTTCCTTTAATTGAGCCTTCCTTTATTATATTTCCTTCCTCATCATCATATTCTACATTTCCTCTCTTTGATGAAGCCACTCCAGTAGATATAGGAATAAAAACTGAGGCATTTGGGTTCAAATCTTTCTGCCTTTGAGTGTCATGCCTATCATCTGCTTCCACAATGATCATTTGATTTCCATTATCACCCTCTTCCTCTACTTGTAATGCTGCAAATTTGTTTGTAGTTTGTATTTGTTTCCCTACATCAACTGCAACAATTTGTCTTCCCTCATTGTCCCTATCTTGCTGATTAAAAACTGCTACTTCCTGCCCTAAAGTTGCATCAGGATTAACATTATTCCCAGTTGCATGCACCTGCTGCCTATCTCCTTGATTTATTGGAACAATTTCCTTTCCATTTATCACTTGATTTCCTGTCTTCTTCACACGATTATCCTTTACTTCTTTCCATTGTTCTCCATTTGAATTTACATTACCTACCACTCTCCCACTCGACAAGATCATTAAAGGTTGATTATGCTGCACCTTAGTCTGCTCCTTGACCTTATCAGAATTCTGCTTTCCTTGATCATAAGGTGACAATTCTGGATGAATTCTCCAACATTCAAAATCATCATGTCCTTGTAGTCTACATTCCTTACAGTATTTAGGTAACATATCATACTTAATGTTAACCCATTCAGTTCTTACTTCACCTGATGCTTCATTAATAATGTCCATTCTTACCTTATTAGGATGATCTGCTAACAGGTCAACAAGAACTTTGACCCTAGCACAGCTAGGTCTAGTCTTATTAATTGTAGCCATGTCCAAATGTAAGGGCTTCCCAACAGCTGACGCAAGAGAAAAGAGACACTCCTTTACGAAATAAGTAGGTAACAGTCCTGGGAAGGAAATCCACGCCATAGCCATTGGAGTCTCTTCTCCTGCTTTAAACTTCACATCATATATAAGAGGTCTGATTTGATATTCATGTCCATTCTTGTCCTTAACATATTGAGCTCCTTTCGACGTAAAATCAACGAAATCCTGCCACAATGTCATACGTATAAGGACATGCCTATCTCTCAAGTAACCAATGCTACATTCTCCTTTTATTCCACATTGCAAAGGGACAATGCGACGAATCTCGTTCAAATCTGGCCATCCATACGCAAACTTTCCCACCACAGCATATTGAAGGCCCTCGATCACAT